GTGTGTAAATATTTGTGTTTGTTCTTTGGTGAATGTTCGTACGTACGTGTATTTGTGTATAATGTTCATGGCGTCTTTCACAAATGGGAAGACGCGGATCTTCTAAGAGAGCTTACATTGTAGTCGCTGAAATGAAGAAATGAAAAAGAGAACGAGGCGAGAAGTCGCCCAGTATTTATAGTATAGGGAGAATGACCCCTAGTGACAATTTGGGAATTAAGGAGGAGCTAACTCCGACAGACTAACTATAAACTACAAGAAGACAAAATGCATGATTATCAGCAAAAGGATGAGCCCCAAATGCCAAGTACAGATCGAGAATACTGAAATTAAGCAGGTACAGAGATTTAAATCTCTGGGAAGTAGAACGGAAAGTGCGACACTGAGATCCGAAGACGTATTGGGATGGCCAAGGATGCATTCCAAAAGCTAAGCTGAGTATTAAGAGACAGGAAAATTTCGTTGGAAACAAAAAAAAAAGGGTATTGAACTGTTATGTCATATCTGTCCTCCTGTATAACAACGAATGCTGGATAATCTCCTCAAAGATGAGGAAGAGATTTGAAGCAACAGAAAAAAAATTCATTCTATCCTCCTTACGTTAGAACACCAATTAATTGCAAAAAGAAAAAAAAGAGGAAAAAGTTTCTTGGAATGAAATACAAGATGGACGTATGTATTATACATTTCAAAAGTTGAAATGATGGATTCAGCCGTTTTCCTTTGATTTTTTTCAATACATTTGTCGTGTATGTTGGCTTGGGAAAGTAATAATTCCTTCAGGAAAGGCGCAGATTGATATTTTGATAATATTCGATGGCGGCACTCTCGAGTAAATTACTTTTTCTTTTGATGAGTGTGTTTCAATCCAAGAAAGTTTTTCTTCTTTTTTCTTTTTCTTTCTTTTTATCTTTTTAGAGTATACTAAATGGCGTATTCTAAGGTTTAAATGACTAGACATTTCAGTTAACCTGTTATTGAGTGTCTTTAAATTTAAAAATTTCCTTTCAAAGATGCTATATGTCGTCATTTAGGATATCAAACCTAAAGCATTTCAGTTAATTTGCTGAATATTTACGAGCATTCTTAAATTTGGAAATTTTGAGTAACTGTAAAATATATACTTGTTGCAAAATAAAACCATCACATTTACCTTGATAAAGTCCTTCAGATGACGAAACGCGTCAGCTAAACTAAGTATAGTTTTCCTCTTGTCTTTTCATTCATTTTGTCACTTGTACCGATATACTCAATCTGAGAATATTTACACGCACACACACACACATATATATAAGATAACGATATATATTTTTATATATCAAGAACAATATAGGGGTAAAATTTGTTATGCTGATGTGACTACACATGCGCACGAATGAGGGGTACTGGGAAAAAAGTTTTCAAATTCCCAGCATCTCTCGTTCGTCGCACCAACATGTTTTGAACAATAAAAAATATTAAAAAATTAAAATTTTCAGACACACTGGATTGTATATTGATATTTTTTGTGTTTTATTATTTCAATTAGGTTCCTCGACTAGTTTCGGCCAGCATGGGCATCATCAGGAGAAAAAAATCCCTGCTTGTTAGTAGCAGTGAACTACAGGAGTAAATGACTGACTCCGAAGAAAGTGAACTTTATCTGTAGTTTTCATTTGTTTTTTTATCGTTTATTTTGGTCAGTCCTTGTATTGGTTGAACGGCCTCTTTCAAGTTGTTTTTAAAATAGAGGCTGGGAGATTCCTGAGTCTCAGAATTCCCTCCTTGATCATTTTGACATTTTTATTAGTTACTAGGAAGGAGATGTGTGTGTTAAGTGTATGTTATCTTTTATTTGGAGGGTGGGTGATGTTTGTATGTTTATATATTTGTGTGAGACCTCAACATCTCTGCAAACATATCTGTCTTGTGTGGGTGAGGAATGTGTGTGGGGTTTGATTTATGGAATTATATATTAATTCTGTGTTGTTTAATTTGTGATTAAATCCGTCTAGACAAAGTGTTTTGTTTCATTTGTCTTCATGTTCCTCTAGTATTTTTCTAAGGTTATCTTTTCTGTCTATTTCTATTTTTTTCAATTACAGTGAATTTTGAATGGTTTTTAAAATCATGTTTTTCTAGGCGGAAATGTTGTTCTACACGTAATAATCTTTCGTGGGGAGCCTATACAGGATTAACAAATATAAAATTTGCCTCTTATTTGATTGATGTTGTATTCAGCACCTCAGCTCCGGAGTTTTGTAGAAGACCCCGTCAGGAGATTTCAGCAATTGACTGCCGTTTTTCTCAGTTTTCGTTATTTTCAGACTAAGTTTGATTTAATTTATGAGCTAAATGGAAGCTTTTATTATTGATGTTTCGCTGATTTTTTTTTTTTTTTGTTTTTGTGCGTATGTGTTAAATGTCGTGGGATTGAGCTGTGAAGCGGACAGTCACCATACAGTGTTGATATTCCTATGCGCACACTGTAAACAAACACGCCATCTCTGATATTGAGGAGTCTTTCTATATCAATCAATATTCCAGGATTGGTGTAGATTTAGGGTCTGCTCGGTAGTGACGAAAGAGTTTAATTTTGAATGTATTGAATGATATCAGCTAGTCTTTTCCTCATGAAGTTGTGGGAGTAAAGGCAAAGGAAAGATTAGCTGACTGTCACTGATCATCAAGATATTTGAAAATGTATATTTTATGAAAAAAATATGTGGGGATATTGTTGAATGGTTATAAAACAAATAAAAGCCACAAAATAACTTCGTTGAAAATAAAATCTTCAATAGACAATTTTTCTATCCAGAATCTATTCTATAAATGTTCTCAATAATTGTTATTTAGTAGTAATTTAGGCCTCCACATGTCCGCCCCCTGTCGTGGGCCCCAGTCGCGTGGTTGACAGGCCTGGTATAAGGATCGCCTTGCACTATAGCCATTAATTTCAAGTTAGTCATGAAGAGAAAAAATCATTATATTGAATCCATTGCTAAGTCTGCTGCTAAGAAAGTTGGTTTACTGTATCGTGCTAGACAATTTTTCTTTCCAGCATCTATCTTACATATAATTCTGCCATTCACCCATGCTTAGAATATTGATGCCGCATATGGGCCGGTGATCCTGCTATTTGTCTAAAGATCCTTGATAAAATCCAAAGAAGAATCAGCAATATTATTTGTCCTGACCTGGTGTCTCGGCTTCAGTCACTTTCTCACTGCCGTAGGGTTGCCTCTCTGTGCTTTTTCTAGAAATACTTTCATAGTTAATGTTCGGATGAACTCTTCCCTGTGGAACCGAGACATTTTGAATTTGAGCGCAGTACTAGATTAGCGATGAGGTCTCACCAATTTGAAGTCGAGTTGGCTAGATGTAACTGTAAATTCTATATTAATAGTTTCTTTTCTTGCACTTATCGATTGTGGATCTCTTCTCCGGCTCCATGCTTTCATGCAATCAACTTTAACTTCAAAAATTCAAATGCAATGTCAATCGCTATCTACTGACTTCTTGATTACTCTTCTAGTGTTCTCGCTCCGTATCAATGTTTCTGTTTCTAATTCTTCCACATCCAGTAACCCCTTGTGGTATCTTAGTGGCTTTACTGCTTTGCTTGGGTCAAAGTCGATTAAAAAAAATAGGTGACAAAAATTAAATAAACAAAATTTTCTCTTTAATTTTTATTACTTATTAATTTATTTTCACTTGTGTCAATAAATGATATAACGAGTGTTTGGTTGCATAGGAAAGGAACAACTAAGGATTACATTTTCAACAGTGTATATTCATCAAAATTCGGAATATATACATAGTTGTTTGAAATTTGGCAAAAATTGTTCATGTGTAGTTCAGTTCTTCAGTTGCAGTTAGTAAGGAATACAATTAGGTGTAAGGGTGTTGTCAGTAGGACTGGGAGTTGGCTGATTTATTGGGTTGGTGGGCGTGGTTCAGTTGGGGTCAGAGGCTAGGTTTGGAGCGTATTAGCCGTTGGTGGGCTTTGACGTACGCCCTTCTTCGACACCTGTGCAATGTTTAATGGGCTGGCGATCGTGTGATGCCGAGATGTTGAAGCCGAGCTGCCTCGTCAGGTGGGTTGGTGATTTGGTCGATGAAGGTCACGGTGGTGAGTTGAATCGTGGTAAGGCGTGTTGGTTGCCGAGGTCACGGTGGTGGCGACGAGGGATTAGGTGTAGATAGTGAACATTGATCGAGTGGAATGTTTCTGTTGGATTCTGGTCGAATTTGGTAGGTCAGGAGATGGATAATGAATTTGAGGTGTTAGCTTGGGTGTCGGCGTCGGGAACCTGGCTGTGTTCAAGTTGGCCCTTCGGCCGCTTTCTGAGTGTGAAGAGTCGGGTAAGATTAGTGAAACTTGGGCGAAGTTACGGTTGTAACGAGAGAAGCGATCATGACAGTGACGGTGACGGCAACAGCGCACTACAAGTGGCCTTTCAGCCCACAACTGTCGGTCGGTTACGAGGGGCTTTCTTTTACGCAAACTTAGTGGTCCCCGGAGTCATCTTTTTCCCAGTGAGAACGTCCGTGATTGGCTATTGTATTTTATTGCTGGGATTTTTTTGAGGACCGATGTGATGCTCGGAGCCCCTGCGCAGAAAATCTTTTTTATTTTGTGTTTTACTTTTTTAGCGTTCACATCCGTCCGATATGTAGTGTGAATCAGAAAGAGAACTAATTGCAGCGGAGTATAGCAACTCACATCGATATTTTAAAAAAAATTTCTCATGAGAAAATTTTATATATAGTTGATTGATTGCTTTTACGGCTTATCAACCTTTTGCAGATTATTTAAAGCCAGAAAATATTTTTAGATTGTAAGAATTTTATTTGGAGATAATAACGACTTAGTGATACAAATCTTACTAATTAACCCATAGCTGGGAGGAGAAGAGGTACAGTCATACATTGTGAATATAACGGACTGGAACTAGAACGAGAACTCGGCTCTTCGGTTTTCAATTCTGAGTTGTTATCCATTACACCACCGGCCAAGTTTACATCACCTAGTATTTCCAAATGGTCACCCATCTAGGTACTAACACCAGGATCGATGTGGCTTAACTTCGGTGATCATACGAGAACCAGTGTTTCAACGTGATATGGTTGTATGTATATGGTGTCCCCCACCAAAAAAAAAAGTACTCACTTTTTGGCTTCGTCGTCAGTTTGAATATTTATATAAACATACATTTAATTTAATGTACTATTTAATTTAAACCATTACTCTTTTTTGTAAATCAGTAAACATTAATATTTCTTAATTTTAACCATTAATCGTGTTTGCTAGTCAATAAACACTACATTTATTGTAAGAAAATATATGTCTTGTCCCCGGCAGCACTTCTCCATTGCCTAATGAGCGGTAAAATTAAGGTTATCGCTTGATATCTGTTGCATACCAAAAAGAGAAAGAGGGAGAGAAAAGCAAAGACGAGGGTATAGAGCGAAAAAAGAAATAAACATCAAAACAGTCAAACTCCAAATGACAAAAATGGTTTCTGAGCCAGGGGGTTGCGCATTGTCCCTGTTAAAAATTAATGCTTCGAAAATAAATATTTAACATTTTTCAACCAACGGGTCGCGCTCTCGAAAAAAAAAAAAAATGAAAAATACCCTTTGAAGGGGTATTTAAGCAAAGTTTCCAGACAGACAAACCAGAAAGAGAGACAACAGGCAAAAAATGGCAACAGTTCACCAGGCTCGACTTAAACGAAATTCCCTTACACATTCATCCGTCTGCCTGACCAAGCTACGGGACACTTACACTTTCCTCTTCACTTTCTTCCTCGACTCTTCTTTCTCACATATACACGCGAAGAAATCACATTTATTTCTTATTTATTTTCATCTTGGAAAAAAAAATACAAGGAAAGGATTGTATCCTGACAAATACAGAACTTTAACATTCTAATAGGATAAAAAAGATTTAGTTGTAAAAAACACGAAAATGAAATATATCTTATATTTTTATATTTAAACACGTTTTTCGCCTTTTCCTTTGTTGTGGACTGATTTAAATCCGCAAGAAAAGGGAACAAGGGACAATTTTATACATTTTCTTCACGTATGCGTCAGGTTCACAAAACTCTACCGTATTTATTTTCTCATTTGGAAGGATAAATACGACTTGCCGAGATCATTTGGTTTCTTTACACGCCAAATAATATTATTCAATAATATTCAATAACGTGGCCTTTTTTTTTTTTTCGAGAGAGAGAGTGTGTGGGGGTCGTTGACTTTATACAGGTACGAATACAAAAAAAAAAAAAAACACAAAATGCAGATGCAAATGCTTGCTTTTGGACTAGAACTAGATGTTAGTTCGATGACATGGTCAGTCATTGTACCAACGTCTTTACCAGATAAGCCAAAGCATGACCCTTTCAGCTCCACTTGCAGCAACTGAGGATTGGAGATTAAACACTGAATTATCACAGAATTGTAAAATAGTATTTGGAACAAACGCATTCCCATCATTTAAGTTTCAAATAGACGGGACGGTTTGGATAAAAGGGGCGGATTAAATTTTTAAATTTCAGTAACAAATAAAATTAAAACGCTTTGTCCTAGAATGCACGCAGTCTAAATTCAGGCGTGGAGAGACATTTCCTGGATATCAAGCTGTGGTTGATACATGGATGCCCAAGGTGAATTTTTCTACAAAAGAAAAAGACAAAGCATAATTGTCCCGGACAATCCATTTGAAACTCATAGATAGAGAGGTGGTGATAGAGATAGTGGCGGTCGCTGTGGTAGTAGTAGTAGTTATAGTAGTAGTAGTAGTTGTAGTACCGTTTCGTAATCTGTTGTAGAATAGACAAAAATAACCGCAGGCAGATATGATTTATTAAATTGAGACTTTTACATTTACAAACAGGACTTAGAAATAAATAAATATTTCTTAATTTTTAGGTTAAGTGATTTAGTTACGTTGTAACCTTTTTAATTATTTCAAATTGCTGACGACAGCACAAATGAAACCAGTCATTAACAGGTTTGGAGTTGGCAAGAAGAGCAGAATAAAACAGTAGTATTTTAAAATGAACAGCGTTGTAGTAGTCGTTACTTGTAGTGGGAAGAGCATCTGTCTCTATTCGTCCTATTCATAAGCAAAGGTAGTATTTTAAAAAGAGGGTGCTTGCTATCGAGTAAAGTTAGTGTTCATTAGGCTACCTCCGCAAAGGCGACCTTGTGGCAGACTAAGCTAAGAGTACTCTTTTTAGAGGAGCCTTACCACGAAGTAAAGCTACTTTTCACTGGGTGATGACTGCACGCAGGTGACCTTGGAGCAGACTAAGCTAATGGTAGTAAGCTTGCCGCAAAGTAAAGTTAGTCTTTACTGGATAATACCTCCAGACAGGTAGCCTTGTAGCAGACTAAAGAAAAAGTAGTATTTTAGAGGAGGTTTGCCAGGAAGTAAAGCTAGCTAGTATAGTAACTTCACACAGGTAGCCTTGTGGCAGACTAAGAAAAGGGTAGTAGAGGAGCCTTGCCGTGAAATAAAGTTAGACTGTCCTACACTAGTAACTTTGTGCCAAATTAATCAAAGATTTATGCTTTACCTTGGATACTCACTAATGTGGGCTTGTGTCATATTTGTTATGTAGTAAATTAGCGCATGTACTTTAACTTTTGTAGTGTTTCATAGACTATACAAAAGCATCTAAAGATCTATTTGAACTGCGAGGAAAACTCTATTTGGGAAAGATATTAGAATAATTCAGAATTAATACCAGGAGCAAACCGCCTGTAAATGGATAGAAATTGGATTAAGTACACAAAATAGGAAGCGTAGACATAAATAAGTCTTCTCACCAATACTGCGAGGCAATCCTAAGAGAAGTAGGTAATATTTTAGAGGAGGCTTGCCGTGGAGTAAAGTTAGACTTTTCTGGCTGATGCCTCCACACAGAAAGCCTTGTGTCAGACTAAGCTAAGAGTCGTATTATAGAGGAGGCTTGCCGTAGAGCAAAAATAATTTTGACTGATCACCAGGATTTATCACTGGGGCACACAATCTTAACAACATAAATTACGCAGATAAAAGAGAGTTGATAGCATAGAAATAAACCCACAGCAACTGTTAGACAAGGTAGTAAAGGAAAACAGGAAGAAAGGACTAACTATCAATTGTAAGAAGACAGAAGCTATGGCTGTCAGCAAGAGGAACAGTCCGAGATGTGAGTTACAAATTGGAGATGTCAAAATCAAGCTATGACAGATATTTAACTTTTTTTTTAATCAGTTCACCTCAAGCAAGGCCTTAAAGCCACTAAGGCGCAAGGCGTTACTGAGTGTGAGAGAATATGTGAAAAAAGAATACTATTAATAAGAGAGAATAATAATAATAAAAAAAACAGAAAATAACGATTGACCTTGCATTTAAATTTTTGAAGACAAAAGTTGACTGGGAAGTAAGAAGCTGGAAGAGAGTTCCACAAGCAAGAAGTACGAGAGAAGAAAGTCTTAGCATCGAACTTACTGTTACATCTAGCCATTTCAATTGTAAAATGAAGAGACCTTGTTGCCAATCTATTACTTTGTTTAAATTCATAAAATATAGGTACCATAGAGGAAATTTCATCAGAACAATTATCAGGAAAGCTATATTATGGCGGTGGAAAAATGACCGAAGCCGAGATGCCAGGTAAGGACCAATAACATTTCAGATTCTTTATTTTATTAAGAACTAGCAGTAGAGCCCGGCGTTGCCCGGGGATGTAACAGTAAGAGATAGATCAAGTATCGACCAGACTGAAAAATAAAATTGACAAAGATTATTGTTTAAGGTTGACGGACACGCATGTCTTAATTAGTTTTTTTTTTTTTTTTTACGAATTGGTCAAACTCAAACAAAAACATTGTTTTCAATCGTTATGAGTCTCCCAATTGAATAGAATAATTTTATAAACAATTGTCTTGTAAATGGAATTTTTAAAGCATTCTGAATGTAAAATTAAAGAAAAAAGTGTGCAAGACAATAAGAAACACTACATGCCAAAAAAAAAGTGAAGTTTTGTTGAAATCAGTTGAAAAATGTAGGAAATCCGATCCCATATATAAACACACACACACACACACACACACACACACACAACCTGGGTTTTATAATAAGTATAACTCGATAACTGGTGACAGAATCGTGTTTTATCGTGTTTTCAAATTGATTTCTGGCAAAAACAATTGTGTTTTTCCAATTTTTGGCACTGTTAGAACCACCGCAAGGTAATTTTACGCAGTCCTGTGAAGTTTTGTTGAAATCGGTTGAAAAATGTAGGAAATACGATCCAATATATAAACGTACAGACACACACACACACAATCTGCGTTTTATAATAAGTAAGATCTCTAGATACATACTATCTGGGAAGTGTTTAAACAAATGATGGAATACCTGAAACTGAAAAACCTGAAAGTGCATTGTAATAGCGAAAGATGCATTTCAAAAGCTAAATAAAATATTACGAAACAAGAAAATTTAGTTAGAAATAAAGAAAAAAGGTGTTGAAATGTTGAATGAATTTTTCTATATGACAATGAATGCTTGACAATTTTCTCACAGACGAAGCGGAGAATTGGAGATGTGGTACTACAGAAGAAGACTGAAAATATAATGGACGGAGCATGTGAATAACGAGCAAGTCTTAAAAATTAAAGCAAAGAATCAGAATTAGTACCAGAAAGAGACAGTTGAATTTCTTTGGATTTTTATGAGAAAAGAGGGCTTGGAGAATTTGACATTCACGTGACATACTGAAGGCAAGAGGAAAAGAATCAAACAGTAAGTAACCTACTTAAGAAGCTTGCGTAAATGAATTGCAGAACAGGGGGTAGGAGAAATAAACATATCTAAGTGTAACAAATTATAGGAAGTTGTGAAAAATCATGATAGCCCACTTCTTGAAGGAACATGGTACCTAAAAGAAGAAGACTTTTGCAATAATCGACATGCAGAAATATATTAATGAACACAGTTGATGCTCATGGTCAAAGAAGGATTTTTGATTATCTTACAATACAGATCAAATTTCAGAGATATTTTACACTGATATCCACGGACTTGTCTCCTTAAATTGATGTTGATAATTAGACAGGTTAATTTATATA